CGAAGTGGCATCGAATTGATCAAATTACTCAAGTAGCCTTGAAGAATTGCCTGAAATCCTCCTTGAAGGGCGAATCGTAGCTCTTGAAGAGTATCTGACAAGGCTGGGCGAAGGCGAATGAGCCTTTAGAGGTCACCCCTAAGATAGGTAGATAGGTTCTGAATTTTTGTTATTGAAAATTTTGAAAATCTATACTTTCTTGAAACACTTGTATCTTCTCTCAAAAAGGAGATATTGACGTTATTCAAGAACCGTTGTATGAAGAAGGAACAAAAGAGGATCCCACTTTAATTTAAAACATGAAGAAGCATTGAAGCAGAAGGTTGGAGAATGGTTCTGAATTATTGTAAATGAAAATTTTAAGAATCCATACTCTCTTGAAACACTTGTATCTTCCTTCAAAAAATGGTTATCGACGTGAATAAAAAACCATAATGTAGAGAAGAGATCACTCTTCAATCTAAAACATAATGAAGCTAACTTAAACCACTCATCTTTTCCACAGGGCGTTAAGAAGTTAAGGGTGAAAAAGTTAATTTCGTTTTTCCCTGTATAATGATCGAGTCATCAGAATTCCTTAGGAACTTATATTTGGGCTAATATTTGGAAACATGAAGCTACGATTTGGTCGGAATTTCACCAAAATCGGACCAGAATTGAAAAAGTTACAGAGCAATCAATTTGGCTAAATTATTTGGGGGCCGGTTTTTTTTGCCGGTGAGTGTATATTGTAAATTCATTTATTTAAGATTTTTAATACAGAGATTCTCCATTCTGATCCATCTAAGTAAAAATATAGAATCAGTACGCGTTTGACATTGGCACTTTTGAGTTCGTTCTCATATGGAAAATATTGTGATTTGACTGATTCGAGTCCAAAATGAAATATTATGACTATATTAATCCCTCGTCATTATTCTCACCGGGATCGATATTTTGGCAATATACTGTGGAAATCACAAGTAAATCACCTATACGTTATAGATCATTAGTGAAGAAAATTTAGTGTGAAGTAGAAACGACGTTGGCTTTATTCCAAATTGAACTGGTCAGTACTTTCAGTAAATCCACTGACTCTGCTGTAAATCTGTGTTCCGGAATTTAAAATCAAAAATACAGTGTTGTAATTCGGAACACGTTTTTATGGTTTTCATCAGTAATCTGCAGCAGTTGATCAGCTGGGGAAATTTGAATATCATTCTCAGCGTCAATTATTTTAATAACAGACATTTCCTGATATTAAATATATTATTTTATCATTGATGAGACAAGACTATGTTTAAAAAACATACTAAATTTTACATTCCTTTCCTATCTAAAATAATGACAGTTCACTGAAGCCACACTACCTTTTGATAGTCAGCAATTTCAGCAGATTGTTGAGTCGAAATATTTGGAATGAATAGTATATCTGCTCACAAGTATCTGTCACTTTCAGTGAATATTTTTGATTTTAGAATGAAGAATCAGCAGATTCAGGACTGTCAGTTGAATTCGGAATAAAGCCGTTGTGTTGAGAAAACTCGAAAACAATCAGACGATAGTACAGAAGTGTGTTGATTAGAAGTAAGGTGTAAATGACTGTGGATTGGTCAAATTTAGAAAATTGAAGAAATCTCATTGATTCTTAAGAGTAAACGTGTATTAGTCAATAATAAATAAATGCACCAAAAATCTAGCGAATATCTTTGCGACTCAAGAGCTCATTTTGATCATTTCCGCCGACTTTTCTCCTATTATGAAAGCAGGACCGGCGTTGTGGGCCGCGATCGGGGCTGGAAAAACGCTCGCATCGGCCACCCGCAAATTCGTCGTGCCGTACACACGCAGTCGGGGGTCCACCACGGCCTCCGGATCGTTGTTGGGCCCCATCTTGCAGGTGCTCACTGCTCGTTTAATAATAATAATAGTAATAATAATTTGTCGCACTTGAATGTCACAGTCAACATACAGTAGAAATTATTTAACTATGTATAAATAGGACGAAAGAGGAATACATATACAATATATTATTGTGAGGATGCAAAATTTAAGTATTCTGAACATGCTGCACTATCCAAGCACTGCTTAAATGAATTTTAGTCATTATTGCGAGTAGTATACTTCATTTCATTCATATGGTAAATTCATTTATTTAAGATTTTCAATACAGACATTCTTTATTTTGATCCATCTCAATACAAATACAGAATCAGTACGCGTTTGACACTAGCATTTTTGAGTTTGTTCTCATATGGTATTATTTTTGAAAATATTGTGATTCCACTGATTCGATTTCTGACAGCCAGTACAGCTTTGTTTGTCGGATTTCATTCGTCACTGAATTGACATTTGTAGTTCGTCTCGGTGGTCATGTGATTTCCTGCCTTCACTCGTGGTTTCTTCAACAAGATGGAAGTCATTTATCAGTGTTCCGTCAACATGCTCATGGAAGTGCCTCAAATGTTAGGGGGCTCTGTTGTTCTGTATTATCCACCATAATGCCCATCTATGAGGGTTTTTTTTTTATGGTTATCCCTTTAACCATTTAACTTAGACAAAAAAATCGTTCACCTTCATATAAGCTATCTATGGTGAGAATTCCTCTGGTTACTTTTTTTTTTCTCATTGTAGGACTATGTAATTTCTTATTAGGCTGATGATGGACATACGTATGTTCGAAAACATGTTCCCCTGATGTGATTATTCACAATTTACCAGTGAGTTTTCACAATAAATTGTATGGATGGTATATTATGACTATATTAATCCCTCGTCATTATTCCCACCGGGATCAATATTATGGCAATATACTGTGAAAATTATTAGTTAACTATACCAACATCAGTGGTGAAGAAAATTTAGTGTGAAGTAGGAACGACGTGTTGAAAATACTCGAAAACAATCAGACGGTAGTACAAAAGTGTGTTGTGAGGTGCATATTTATCAGTTAAAGGGAATGCTAGGTTGCTTTTTGTCATCACAAATGACGTTTGGATTGGTCAAATTTAGTAAATTGATCCAAGCACTGCTCAAATGAATTATAGACATTATAGCGAGTATTATTTATATGGTAAATTCATTTATTTGAAATTTATAATACAGAGATTCTTTATTTTGATACATCTCAATACAAATACAGAATCAGTACGCATTCGACACTAGCACTTTTGAGTTTGTTCTCATATGGTATTATTTTTGAAAAATATTTTGATTCCACTGATTCGATTACTGACAGCCAGTACAGCTTTGTTTGTCGGATTTCATTTGTCACTAAATTGACATTTGTAGTTTGTCTCGGTGGTCATGTGATTTCCTGCCTTCACTCGTGGTTTCTTCAACAAGATGGAAGTCATTCATCAGTGTTCCCTCAACTTGCTCATGGAAGTGCCTCAAATGTTAAGGGGATCTTTATAGTTCTTTATTATCCACCATAATGCCCATCTATGAGGTTTTTTTTATGCATGGTTATCCCTCTAGGAAAACAATTAACCATTTGACTCTCATGTATTTCTAATTCTCTACGGTTATTAGATTAAAAAAATCGTTCACCTTCATGTTAGCTATCTAAGGATTCCTTTGGTTACTCAATTAGTTTTTTTTTCTCATTGTAGGACTATGTTATTTCTTATTAGGCTGATGAATTAGTGATGATGGACATACGTATGTCGGAAAACATGTTTTCCTGATGTGATTATTCACAATGAACCAGTGAGTTTTCACAATGAATTGTAGAGATGAAATATTATGACTATATTAATTCCTCGTCATTATTCCCACCGGGATCAATATTATGGCAATATACTGTAAAAATTATAAGTTAATTACCAACATTATAGATCAACAGTGTGTTGATTAGAAGTAAGGTGCATATTTATCAGTTATTGGGAAGATAGGTTGCTTTTTGTCATCACAAATGACGTTTGGTTTGGTCGAATTTAGGAAATTGAAGAAATCTCATTGATTCTTATAATGAATGCGTGTATTATTCAATAATAAATAAATGCACCATGTAATCACAGCTGCTGAATTTTTATATCTAGCGAATATCTTTGCGACTCAAGATCTCATTTTTGTGCTCTTCCTTGATCATGTCAGCCGCTTTTTCTCCTATCATGTAAGCAGGGCCGGCGTTGTGGGCAGCGATCGGGGCTGGAAAAACGCTCGCATCGGCCACCCGCAAATTCGTCGTGCCGTACACACGCAGTCGAGGGTCCACCACGGCCTTCGGGTCGTTGTTGGGCCCCATTTTGCAGGTGCTCACTGCTCGTTCAATAATAATAATGATAATAATAATTTATTTCACTCAAATGTCACAGTCAACATTTTGTACACATTATTCAACTATATGTATAAATAGAACAAAAGAGGAATATACACAATACGTATTATTGTGAGGATGTAAAATTCAAATATTCTGAACGTGCTGCACTATCGAAGCACTGCTCAAATGAATTGTAGTCATTATTGCAAGTAGTATATACATCATTAGATTCATATGGTAAATTCGTTTATTCAAAATTTTCAATACAGAGATTCCTTATTTTGATCCATCTCAATACAAATACAGAATCAGTACGCGTTTGACAATGGCACTTTGAGTTTGTTCTCATATGGTATTTTTTTTCGAAAAATATTGTGATTCAACTGATTCCAGTCCAAAATGAAATATCATGACAATATTAATCCCTTGTAATTATTCCTACTGGGAACAATATTATGGCAATATACTGTAACAATCACAAGTAAATCACAAACGTTATAGATCAGTTGTGAAGAAAATTCAGTGTTGAAAAAACTCGAAAACAATCAGACGGCAGTACAGAAGTGTGTTGATTAGTAGTGAGGTGCATATTTATTAGTTATAGGGAATGCTAGGTTGCTTTTTGTCATCACAAATGACGTTTGGATTGGTCGAATTTAGGAAATTGAAGAAATCTCATTTATTCTTAGAATAAACACGTGTATTAGTCAATAATAAATAAATGCATCGTGTAATCACAGCTGCTGAATTTTTATATCTAGCGAATATCTTTGCGACTCAAGATCTCATTTTTGTGCTCTTCCTTGATCATGTCCGCCGCCTTTTCTCCTATCATGTATGCAGGGCCGGCGTTGTGGGCAGCGATTGGGGCTGGAAAAACGCTCGCATCGGCCACCCGCAAATTCGTCGTGCCGTACACACGCAGTCGGGGGTCCACCACGGCTTCTGGATCGTTGTTGGGCCCCATTTTGCAGGTGCTCGTTTGGTCGCCCAGCGTGGCAGAGAGGTGCCTGATTGCGCAGGTCCAGTAGTCGTCGGAGTCGAATTCCAGGGGTGCGCAGCCTGGAGAAATCGGTATTTTCATTGTGTATGACCTCGGTTTAGTTCTAGGTTTTCAATCAAGCAGTCTAAAAAATTGTGGACAAAATTCAACTGTCAAATGAAGAAAATTTTGTATTTCTTGTGAAATTTTATTATAAATTCGCAGAGCACTTTCTGCTAATGAGCTATCATCAATACTATACTCGTCAAATATTTACTAAAAGATCCAAATTTTAATCCACGGCATCATTAAGGTATCGGTTGTATAGGAACAGACATACATTTAACAAATAAGTATTTCAATGATGTGTTGCTATTCTTTCTCCAAAAATACATATTGAAAAAATTTTCGTTCAGGTTCCACGAATATCACGAGGGACCTTAACCTTAATTGAACCTGAACGAAAAATTTCATAATATGTACCGAGTGAACAACTAAGACCGGCTGTCGGCCATATCTCAGCAACGAATAATGATACCAGTTTGAGATAGAATAAATCTGATGGTATGCATATCATTACACGATGTAATAGAGAAACTAAATCTCAACAGACCAACGAAAACCGCAACGTGATTGCTTTTTGCCAACGGAAGATATTAACTATCAAAGTTGGAAGAATGATAGATATGACAGCCGTTTCTAGTTGTTCACTCGGTATACAGTGTGTCCCACTTACCATGCTCACCATGGGTATCTTTTTAACGGTGAGAGATACGAGGTCGGTTAAATGACACCAAATGTGGTGTTTGTCAAGGCCAACTATAATGTGAAATAATATTTTGATAAAATCTATTCGTTTTTGTTTTATACGCAAAAAAGTTAGTTAGTTTTTCAAATGTAGGTCATAGCTCACTATGACTTAGTTACAAATAACTTTTTTTTCTCTTTCAGATGATGTGTCGCAGTAATAGTTTTGTGTTGATAACAACGGAGTTATCGTCATTTATACAAAAACAAAAAATTATTTGGAAGCCGCCATCTCAAATTTATAAATTTCAACAAAAAAATCATGATCTCCGACCTCAAGAACCCCCACTTACCAATTTTGAATGGAATCGGACCAAATCTTGTCCGCCATCTTGGAACAGCCATTTTTTTTTAATTTCAACAAAAATTCCATAATGTATTGTCACCGAAATTATGAACACCTGCCAAATTCCAAGTTAATCGGAGTTATGGAATTTTTGTTGAAATTAAAAAAAAATGGCTGCTCCATGATGGCGGACAAGATTTGGTCCGATTCCATTCAAAATTGGTAAGTGGGGGTTTTTGAGGTCGGAGATCATGATTTTTTTGTTAAAATTCATAAATTCGAGATGGCGGCTTCCAAATAATTTTTTGTTTTTGTATAAATGACGATAACTCCGTTGTTATCAACACAAAACTATTACTGCGACACATCATCTGAAAGAGAAAAAAAAGTTATTTGTAACTAAGTCATAGTGAGCTATGACCTACATTTGAAAAACTAAAGTTGGTGCTGATATCTCAAATTCTAGAAGAGTTGGTATAAATTTCAAATTTTTCTCGAAATCACTTTGAAAAACTGCCATGAGAATGTGAAATTCCTATTTGAATATTTTCATAAATAAAGAAGTTACGGAGGAGACATGAAAATTATCAAAATCTGTTTTTTGAGTATAAAACAAAAACGAATAGATTTTATCGAAATATTTTTTCACATTGAAGTTGTCCTTGACAAACTCCTCATTTGGTGTCATTTAACCGACCTCGTATCTCTCACCGTTAAAAAGATACCCATGGTGAGCATGGTAAGTGGGACACACTGTACCTATACCATGATACTATAATACGTAAATTCAGTATAGCACTGATGATGGCTTATTAGCCGAAAGGGCTCTGAGAATTCATAATAAAATTTTAAAAGAAATACAAAATTTACCTCATCTGAGTGATCATTCACGTCAATGCAGCTAGTACAAATCTTGAAAATTCAAGTAGTCGATTTCTCGTCAGTTATGTTCCAGGTGACAACGAAATCATCAGCCTGGGCGCCATTCAGTTGTTTTTTATATTAGATTTTCGACATATGGATCGAAAATATATTTAGAACACCGTAGAAAAGTCGGCGACCTCTCATTTTTCTATAGATACTTCCATTGAAAATGCTCCTCAGAAATATCTGCTATAATTCCATCACTAGCAATATCAGTCAGACGAACTCGATAGGCCCAGTCAGCAAATCCTTTCGTTGTCAACATCGAAATAATTATGTCGACCAACACTTAACCAAAAGTCGTTCGTCTATATACAGGGTTCTGTTTTTCGAGCTCCACCATGGAAATCTTAGAGTTTAGAGAGATACGAGGTCTGTTAAATTAAGGCAGAGTTGCGAATTTTCATGCTGAACATTTATCTGAAAGAATGTTTGATGTATTATTTTTAGTTTTTGAATTATTGGAAGATAGCGAAAATTCATAATTTTCGTTTTCATTTTTTCAAGAGGAAACCAAAAGACCTAGACGTTTCTGAGTGGGACATCCTTGAGGCACTTTTTTACAGGAAATCTGAATCTGTCATTGTATTTTCCATGATATTCTTGATGCCAAAGTTACAACACACAACTTCGTCTTTCTTAAGGGCGCCATATTGGATTTTTGAAGTTTTTTTTCTGATTACAATGATGTATCACACGATTGATCGAATCTTGTCTGTTGATCAAAATTGGAAAATACTATTTTTATCGGAGAGTACTTTAGAAAGAATGCCATCAGTTTTGTTTAAAAAGCCTAATTTCGACAATTTATTTGAATTTGGATCTGGAACGTTCTCCTTCGAGCTCATCTACTTAAAAACTATGGTTTTGAATTAGGAAGAACGTTATGAGCTAGAAGTTTATTCTTCGCAAAACAAAACAAAGTCAAAACACAATTCTACTCGTTTCCTCATATTCTGAATTGCTCGCGAGATGTCCCGTCTTCTTGTCTTAGTCCTGAAAGTGGTGATTATGGTTCTTTTCAGCTCATCAATATTGATCGGTACAAATTTGAAAATCAAATCTTTCATAGTTCCCCATAAATAATAATCCAGCGGAGAGAGATCAGGTGACCGCGCTGGCCAACGTATGTCTCCATTGTTGAAAATTACCTTGTCAGAGAACATATCTGACAGACACTCGGCAACCCTTTTTGCGCTATGTGGATAAGCTTAAGAATTCAACAGTTCTGTTCGCATATTCAATTGAACTGTCAAAATTCAGTTTGTTAAACAAAACTGTGGCGTTCCTTCCAAAGCACTCTTCGCAAAAATGTTTTTTTGCAATTTTTCATCAACAGGAAAGATTCGATCATATCGTGTGATACATCATTGTAATCAGAAAAAACAAACTTTTCAAAAATGCAAAAATCCGATATGCTGCCCATAAGAAAAAAACAAAGTTGAGTGTTGTTACTTTGGCACCGAGAACGTCATGGAAAATACGATGAAAAATTCAGATTCCTTGTGAGAAAGTGCCTCGAAAATGTTCTAGTCAGAAACGTCTAGGTCCTTTGGTTTTGGCTTGAAAAAATGTAAACGACAATTACAAATTTTCGTTTTCTTCTAATAATTTTAAAACTAAAAATGACACATCAAATCTTCTTGCAGATAAATGTACAGCATGAAAATGCGCAACTTTGCCATGATTTAACCGACCTCGTAGCTCTTGTAATAACTGAGATCACCATGGTGAAGCTCGAAAAACGGGCACCCTGTAGAACGGCAAAGCTTTGGAATTCTCTTCCAATGGACGTATTCCCAAGAACTTATAACCTTCAATAGTTTTAAGAAATCCAACACCTACCTTTTCTCCCTATCCTCACTATAGGCACGCACGATGTTTTTCGAACATTATAGGAATTTCTTTTTGTGCGCTCTAAGAGATGAGAAAAGTGAATGGTTACATTGAAGTTTAACTAAGTATATATCTATACAGATAGATTCTTGGGACATAACGCCTGTTGTTTTTATTTTCAATAAAAAAAATCATTGAATATTGTCTTTTTCAGTAGTTATTGATTTAGGTTTTTTTTATGTTCTGATGGTTTCCACGAAAACGGATATCCTGTAATGTTCAGAGAACATCGTGAGAACCAAGGGAAATAAGGTAGGAATTGGTGTTCTTCTCAAATTTGTGGAGGTTACATGGCTCGGAGAACGCCTCGCTGTTGGTTGGATGAACGAGTCTATGGAAAGAGATGTTCTGCAGGTCTCCAAAGTGACCACGAAGGGGTGCGAAGCCTCAACTGGACGGGTTAATCTTGCGGGGACTGCCAAGGAAGGAACAATTGTTGATATTTCAGAAGAGCATCGTCCATGAAAATATCTATAAAATAGAGCCAGATCGCCAACTTTTCTACGGTGTTCCAGATAAGTGAGTGAGTTTGTGAGCGAGGCATCACCCACGAGACGAATTGCCCTTTTTTGGACAGAGTCCAACAGTTTCAGGGTATATTTGGGTGCTGCACTCCAAATATGGTGTAATAAAAAGGAAAACCTTTAGTCGAGTTATCGGGCAAAAAACTGGAAAAGGTGCGAAGGTCTCGTTTTGCGAATATCTAGAATGCTCCAGGAAATTCTGTTTGCAAATTCCAGACTCGGATTCAAACCTTAGAGAAACCGATACCTGAATTTTTTCCATAAAATGATTTCCATTGTTACCGTTTTACTGAGCTAATCCGTCATGAAATAAATCAATGAGAGAAAACGATGAAGTATCAAGAAAAAAACTCGAGTGACGATTGAAAATATTTTTCTTACGTGGGATAGGAGTTCTGACCAACGTTGCTCCATATCTCCTCAGCGACGGACTCTCAATTATTTTCTGAGCTTCCCTGATACCGCTCAAGAGCGTGCGTATGTCTTGATCTCCTTCATCCGAGAGGAAATGCATGAAGAATTTTGGCCAGTGGAACGGATTCTTGGACTTCAGTTTCAAATGCCCGACTGATTTTGGATGCAACAGTATCGGAAATATCTAGAAAGTTGTGGTAATTGAAAGCTCCTGGAGATAATTTATGTTGCCATAGTTCACCTGCAGAACGTTCTTGTTTTCCAGTGGTCTCCAAATTCTCTCATAAATTTCGTCTGAGATGCTGAACATTTTCTTGAATATTAGTCCTTTGTCGTTTGATATACCACCACTGAAGAGCAGGAGTTCTATGTCTGGTAATGAGGATTCTGAGTCATTGGAAACGTTGGTCTTCAGGAACGCCAAGGCCTCTAGTCCACCTGCAAATTTGATTAACTTGTCAAAAATTCGCTTTTTACCCTGTTGTCCAAAACAACTGTTTCGTTGGAGTGTTCTTAGAAAATTCTTGCTGATACGAGTGATACGTTTGCATCAATATATTTCGAATTGATATTATATTATTTGTTGAGTGAGTGTATTGTGCTTTCATCATGGACTGACTGCTGCAATGTGTGAGGATTATTTGAAAAACCAAACATTCGTTTTATTTTATGTATCAAAAGTGAGTAAATAAACTATTATCACAGGATTTTCTCGAGTTGGGGCTTCGTGTCGTTCATGAATTCACCATTCATTGACTGTCGAAAATATGAGGCACCGTACCCATTTAAACATAGAATTGTGAAAATGAAAATGTGAACTTTAATGAATGTTACATGATGCCTGTAAATTTGGTTTGAAACTTCGGAAAGATTCTCCCACGCCTCGCTATTTTTACAAATCAGGCGATATCGAAAGATATCGAAACTCCTTTCAATAGGAAGTAATAACACCATTTGGCTTTCTATACATCTATTCTTAGACATCAGTTTGTTCGGTTTCTGATAGATGGTGTGCCTACGTGCATATTATGTGACGTCATCTGGGATTCCAATGACAGCTGCTATTCAAAGACAGATACAGTTGCCATAGGCGTGCTCTATAAATTTAATAAAATTCATCGAAATACTTACGATGAATAAGTACCTATATATTCCTTCGATTGACTATTTCATCGATACTGGATTTCTTATCTTGCCGTAATTCGCAATCGCAAATAGCAAATACATACGAATTATTATGCATTGCATATCCCATCGAATGATTCGTCATCATTGTGTCAATTCTGGCAGGTTCAAATTCAGAAGTTGACGTTGTTTCTGCTCTGATGTCGACCACAGGAGTATAATTTTTTGCTGTTTTGTTATTCAAATCTTTGCTGCAATTCATATGTGAGATATTAAGTCTTTCGAATTAATTTTCATTTATTTCTAACACAATATTCGATGAAAAATGGTCTGTAGGAATGATTTCTTGTTTCGAATATTTGTATATTTGTGGTTTCTTGGAGGTGTGTAAGTAATTCAACAACGACTGTACTTTCAAACTTGTTCGAAAAAGTTTTGCATGGAAATCTTGCAATTAAATACGTGCTGGAATATGAATGTGATGATATATGTGAGGCAAATACTTAAATTAGTATATAAGGCATTATTCCAGTTCATTTTCGGTCCTTGGAAAAACAGAAATATTCAATATCTATGCATTTCGTATATTTATTGGAATTTTCATAAACAGAAACGATACAAGTGGGCATTTTGAAAGTATTTCATTCAATTTCCGAACTTATATTTGAATTAGAACACTCACTCACGAAAACAAATAATAACAATGACAGTTATATCCCAGTTGACGTCATGCGTCATGGTAACAATGAGATAGGTTTTGTTTTCTCCTTTGTTTTTCTCACATTTTAGGAATTGTTTTTCATCTTCCGGTTTTCCTGGAAATGACATCAACTTTCCATTTTTAAATGGAACACCATATATTGTTAGAGATTGCTATAACGAATCCAACGATACCGATTTTGATCGGGTGTGACGGCGCAATATCGAAACTTCTATCTCTCTCACACTCAGTGATCATATCGCACCGTCAAAACAATAGTAACATAAGTCAAAAAACATGGTTTAGAGACAACCACGTTCGAAGTTCTAAAGAAACAGTTGCAATTCGATTACTTTTAATCAATTAGATACAGCTTTTTTGATTCTCCATGAATTGATTCTGTATCATTATGAGAAGATGATAATATATTATGTAGATTCAGATTGCTACTCACCCATTACCGTAGAAAATACTCCTTCTCCGTTTTCTATACGAACAAAATTTTCAAGATCTGATAAGGCTTCTTCTTGATTAATGACGATGCTTTCGTTCAGGAGAAAATTCAAGCCAGGGAAGAGGATGTGATCATACATTTTTCGTCCGACAGGCGATTCTTGTAAAATCGGTATATCTGGAAATGGTGGTAAGTGATGATAATAATAATACCTAATGATAATAATAATAATAAATCATTCATTTTTCTTTTGAAAACACAAATATTATATAGGAACAGTCAAGTTGTCAGAATCAAAGATTCATAATGAGAACAATTCTCCTACACTGTAATAGATATTTACGTTACTAGTCCGGTAAGTACACTTTTACAGTACGAGTGAGATGTTTACGGACGAGGCACAAGCCGAGTTCAGAATTTCGAAACGAGTACTGTAAAAGTTTACCGGACGTGTGACGTATAACATTTTATTTCATACTGCTAAAAAACAAAAATGCACAGTGAAAAATAAAATATTAATGGCGGAAAAATATATCGAGGATTCGATCGAGGGGAAAAACAGGGTATCTCGCATGATTCAACATGGAGAAAACTTTGTTGAAGTGCTACAACAAAAAAATGGGAATGTATCAGCAAGTAGCGACTCCCTAATAAATAATTCATCCAATGGAGCTCCTGGTATCCATATTCATGGGAACGAAAATTTAACGGTTAATATTAATATTAGCAATAAGTAATTTCTGTGTATTGTTTTGCTGTTGAATTTTCAATAAATGTATTCATACTTTTGACGCATAACTGAGTTTTCAATATTTACAATCCGGTAAAATTTCATTACGGGATAGTAGCACGTAATGAAATATTACGTGCGCCTATCCTGTAAAAGTCTATTTTCCGGATTGAAATCAGGTACGTAAAGGTATGTTCTATGATGCAGTATGAAATAAAAACATTAATTCATCTACTAAAAAAGTCCTAAGACTATGTTTGAATAAAGATATAGAATGACTATTGTTACGTCCGCACCTATATACACTCATTCATCAAACTCATCCGTTCTACATATAACATATTTTGCTCGCGTACCTTTATATACAAGAGATTGTAACGCCACTGGTAATGGTACCGAGCCGGGAGAACGCAAAAATGCTCCCGAAAAATCAGTCGATATCAGCATTGATATATCGGCTCGCGACAATTGTGTGTACCTCAGAAACAAGAAATTATTGGTAAGTGGATTCTCTCTCTTGTATCGAAAATTTTTATAATTATCAATCTCATACTTTATACAGTCCATTAGCTCAAATCTCGTACATTTATGATCCTTCTCAACGGATAATTTTGATGAATTAGTGTCTCTTAATTAATATAACTCATCAAAACAGTTTTTTATTCTGAAACCGGCATTGCTTTTTATAATAGCGCATTTACCTGTATTTGCCTTTACCTATACATTCGTTTCCAAATATTTGAATTCTCGCGTCTCCGCGTTCTGGTCGTTCAGAACCGAACGCGCACCGTCTTAACGCAGTGTGGGTGTGGATTTAATATTTCGCGAGCGCTAGGCGCTACGATTCAAATCTATCACAGGGACACAGCTGATTATCGTTTAATAATAATTCCTCAATTCCTCATTGATACCTCAGCGAAATAATTTCGAGTTCGTGGATATTATCGCATCCTAATTATCAATTTCACTTCATTTTCCTCTTAGTTCTCTCTTCACAAGTACTTCGAATATGGCAACTGCCCAAGCTAAAATTAAAAATTATCTTGCTCAACGAAGTACCGAGGTGATGAAAATTGTCGAATTGAAACGAGTGGCGGAGAGCGCGCTGGTTGACTCGGATGTTCACGACAATTTCAAATGCCGCTATAGACACATTGATGGGATTCGCGGTAATTTCGATAGGTTGCATCTAGCGTTAATTGGTTTGGCTTCTACACAAGAAAATGCAGATCTCGATGTATATAACACTGTCGTAACTTCATTTGAAAATGATTATTATCATATACAAGCGATATACACGAAATTATTCGAAAATAATCCCCTACCTACACCTACTCCACCTAGTCACTCTAATGTTAGACTCCCCAGAATGGAATTACCCACATTTAGTGGCGATGTCAAGAGTTGGCAAACATTCATCGTACACACCAATGACACTATTTCGAATATTGAGAAGTTTTCATACCTTCTTAATTGCCTAAAGGATGCTCCTCTAGCCTTAGTGAAATGTACTCCCCTAACAGGACAGAATTATCTAGTGGCCTATAATGCACTCAAGAAAAGATATCAAAATTCTCGAATTATCGCAACATCTCATTGGCATGCTATAGTTAACACTAAAAAATTTACTGACCCTGAAAATTCTCAAACTTTACGACATCTCCTTGACACCTTTAATGAAAATATTGCAGTGTTAGATAAACTAGGATTTCCAACTAAACAGTGGGATTTCATCCTATTTAATATGTTATTTGACCGTTTGGACTCTGCAACGGCTACCAAATTTGAGTTAGAAAAATGTTCTTTACTACAGGATCACTACTATCAAACGCTTGAATCTTTTTTGAACAATATTTGCTCAGCAATAGATACAGTTAATTTCTCAAAACTCAACATGAGATCATCATCAGATTTCTCTAAGGTAAGGGCAATTAATATCAATAATAAACCTCAATATTCGAAACAAAAGTTTAATATCTCATCTTTCCTCGTAAGTTCCAACAGAAAACAAAGCTGTCAAGTGTGTCATCATGACCACTTGATTTATAATTGTCCAGAGTTTCTTTCCAAATCACCAGAGGAACGATATAATTTTATAAAAATGAATAAATGGTGCACAAATTGTTTGGGTTCGAAGCACTCGGCAACTAACTGTACTTCGAGGAGTTTTTGTCGTGTGTGCCCTACCCCTAGACAACACCATACTCTCCTCCACTTACCGAATCACTCGGAACAGCGCACACAAAACATAAATTCGAATGTGACAAATTATTCTTGTCCATCCAGCTCTAACTCCACTTCAGACCCTCAGGTCGCTAGTGGCTCAAATACAAATACCTCTCAAATCCTCACAGCGAGTCTTCCAACCACCAACTCTAGTACTGTCCTTTTATCCACTGCCATTGTCGACGTCATTGATAATAAAGGGCAATGTCATCAGGTGAGGGTTCTCCTAGACAGTGCCAGCCAAAGTCATTTCATTACGAGTAAATGTTGTACAAGGCTTGGACTTTCTCGAAGAAAATTATCACTCGATTGCGAAGGTATTGGACAGATCAGTGCTCACGCTTCTCAGGGCGTGTCTTGCACAATCAAACCCCGCCGACAACTTCAGCCATCATTCACTCTAGACTTTGTTGTTTTACCGGAAATATGCTCAAACCTCCCATCAGTTACCATTTCAAAGGATATATTAGACTTTCCCAACTTTGAATTGGCAGACCCTTATTTTCATATTTCACGACCCGTTGATATGCTCCTAGGAGCAGACGTTTTTGCTCATATTCTAAAGGGTAATTCTCATGTCGAAAGTAGCGATAAACCTGTCGCTCTTGACACCATTTTCGGATGGATTATGATGGGGAAGATTGTTGTATCGCCTCCAAGTTACTCATTTCTCTCCTCGGTGGATTCGCTAGAAAAATCCATAAAATCATTTTGGGAACTGGAACAAGTTCCTACCTCTACCCCTCTGTCGAAAGATGAACTGAGAGCTGAAGAGCTCTATCAATCATCATTCTCTCGTAATGACTACGGTCGTTTTCAAGTCGCTCTACCATTCAAAAACGAAGAACCATTATTTCCCAACTCTAGGGATGTGGCTTTACGACGTTTTTTCTCACTCGAACGAAGACTTCTCAATGATCCTCCTCTTTATTCTCAATATTCCGAGTTTATGCGCAATTATCTCTCCTCTAATTATATGGAACTCATTTCCGACATATCCTCGTCTCCCTCTCAATATTATATTCCGCACCATTGCATTTTAAAACCCGAAAGCACCACTACGAAGCTTCGTGTTGTGTTTGACGCCTCATCAAAATGTTCCAATAATCTTTCTTTAAACGATACCCTTTTAGTTGGCCCAAAGCTGCAACCTGACATTTGTGGTCTCCTATCTCGATTCCGTCTTCATACTATATGTTTCATAGCTGATATCAAGCAAATGTTCAATCAGATATTGATGAAAGAGTCACATAAAAGGTACCAGAGGATTCTTTGGAGATTTTCGAGGGATGATATGATACAAGACTACCAACTCAACACTGTAGTTTTCGGTGTTTCTAGTTCACCTTTCCTGGCCATACGTACTGTTCAAGAAATCGCAAATCAATATCATTCTCAGTTTCCCAATGCTTGTGATGTTCTCAAAAACGATGTTTTTGTTGATGACATCGTCACTGGCTGTTCATCTCTCTCGGAGGCAAAAAAGCTTCAGACTGATTTAATCCACGTACTAAAAAATTCAGGTTTTGAACTCAGGAAATGGGCCAGTAACTCGCCCGAATTGATTTCTCATTTGACCCCAGAAATGTTGAAATTAGATCCCTTACAACTAGATCTCGAACAGAACTCAACCCTAAAAATCTTAGGTTTGCAATGGAATGCAACCGACTCTTTCTCCTATCATGTGAGACCACTGGATAAGCCATGTTCCAAGAGAACTATCCTCTCAGAGTTATCAAGAGTGTACGATCCTCTAGGGTTCCTCACGCCCACGACATTGTTCGTAAAAGCCCTCTTGCAAACATTATGGACTTCAGGTGTGGACTGGGATAGTCTACCATCAGAAAACATAGTGTCTCTTTGGAAGCAATTCAAACAGGAATTACCACAGATTTCTACTATCCAGGTTCCTAGACGAATTCTTCCTCCAAATACTATCTCTCGTGAGATTATTGGATTTTGTGATGCTTCACAAAAGGCATACTGTGCTGTAGTCTACCTCAGGACTTTCTCGGGTAGCGAATACGAAACTCATCTCTTATGTGCGAAATCACGAGTAGCCCCTCTCAAAACAATATCTGTACCACGACTCGAACTCTGTGCTGCTCTGCTTCTCTCTAATTTATTGAACTTTGTCCAAGAAGCTTTACATGTTTCCTTCAAGGTAAATGCAACCATTGCCT